GTCAAAGGAAGTCATAATCCCATACCAAAGAGTCTCCCCAAGAAAGAGAAAGGTTTTAAAGAGTAAGTTCTGGCTACTCCGAAAAACCAAGACACATAGTTGGCTTCTTTGGTTTTCTTGTATATTGAGAAAAATAAAAATAATAAAAACAAAGCACATGGTTTCTAGTAAAATTCTTAAGGAAGAAAAGAAGATGAGTTTTAAAGATGTGGAGATAAGAGTTACCTAGAGCTCTCTCATAAGATTAAATATTTAGCAAGCCTATACAAACCTTTTTAGAAAGTAATTTGTCAATAGCTACCAAGACCCCAGGTTTGTGTCTTGGTGAGAAGCTGAGTGGACTACTATTTTCTGAGATGGGAAGTATAATGTGTTCGGTAGGCAACACTGCAACGCATTTAAAGGTGAGGAAAGAGAAACAATAAAAATACTCTTCTCTTAAGACATTCCCATTCGAATGGGAAAAAAAAATGGTAGGGCATTATGTAAAGGGTCACGAAAAGGTAGAGAGTATTTTGTTTTTGTTCTTAATGGTATTTAAAAAGGAAAAAGACCTAAGCTATGGTAGGCCAATAAAAGGATCCAGCGGAGGGAGACATGAAGAGAAGGGAGGTGATTGCTGAGCCTGGGCTGGTGGGGTTCAGAGCAGCACTGATGACTGGGAGGAGAGATACTTCCTCCCTGGAGGGAAAAGAGGAGGAAAGGTGGAGGAGGCCATGGAGAGAAGTTGCTAGTTTGAAGAGTGGGGAGGAAGTTGAAGGGCCTCCTGCCTAATGGTCTCCAGTTTCCATTTCTTCTGCAAAGAAGGAGGCACGTGCTTTGCTTAGAGGGCAGAGGACTGAGGTAAGGGGCCTTGAGGATAAGGGTGAAGGCTTGAAATAGTCACTGTGGGAAATGGGAGAAAGAATTTATTAGGGCCAGTAAGAGCTACTCTGAGATCCCAGCTTGTCTAAAACAATGACTCAAAACTTACTCCTTCCCTCTTTCCTTTGCTCCTTTCCTCCCTCCATTCGCCCGTCTCTCCACACATATGTGTGTACGTGAACTTCCTCATGTAGTCACTCATCTAATAACTACACAGTAAGCACTTACTATCTGCTAGTCTCTGTATGCATACAAGAGATGGATGCAGCTCCTTCCCTTGAGCTTCCAGTCCAGTGAATCAACACAATTAATCAGATGCTTTCACTATTGACAATAAGTGTTAGGAAAAGGAAAATATGGAACGCTTAGAGGACATATAAAAGGGAGCACATCACTTGAATTTGGGGGTTGAGAATGGCTTCTGTAAGAGTAATTAGTCTGAGTGGGATTAAGCCAGGGAAAGGTTAGGACTGGGGGTAGTGAATATTCCAACAAGAGGGGAAAAGAATTAAATGCCCAGAGACACCAAAACGAGATTTATTTATGGAATAGAAAGTAGCTCACTGGTTAGAACATAGACTAAGGAGGGCAGGAAGTAAGCTTATTACAAAATGTAAACTTTACACTCAGAACTTCTGCTTTCTCATCTCCCACAGTGGCTGCTCAAGAGTTTTAAGCAGGAGAGTGAAGTAAACAGAGAAGCATTTTGGACAATGTATACTCACAGCAGGGTAGAGAACAGGTTAGCTAGAGAGAATGCAGTAAATAGAGCAGTTAGGATAGCAGATCACTGTGGAAACTGGTGATAACAGAAAGTGGTGGCTTGATAGGTAGCATGGGGGTACACGGAATGGGACATATTTGAGAGATATTTTTGAAAATAGAATTAACTGGACTTAATCATTGGCCATGAGAAGCAAGGGAAAGAAAAGAATCAAGGATGACTCTTAGAATTCTGGCCTGAGCAACTGGGCAAGTGGAGATGCCATTTATAGAGGTGGGGAACAGGAGAGGAGCAGTAAGTTTGGGGAAAAGAAGGACTACGGTAGGTTTTTTTTTTTTAAGTCTGTAAATTTTTTGACAGTCCTCTCATCAGATGATGGACTTTGTACCCCTTTTCCTTGAACTCGAGTAGGCTTGGTGATGGCCTCAATGAATGGAATACAGCACAAGTGTGACCTGCAAAGCTAGCTTAGAAAACACTATGCACCGTTTGCCTGTTTCGCTTGGGACACTAACTCTGGAAGACTTGTGCTGGATGATGCCAGCCACCCAGCTCTTTGAGTCTCCCTCAGTTCAGGCAGTAGCCCTGTGAGTGAAGAGCCCTGCATGACTCTAGGCCACACCATGATCTGATTGCAAGCACATGAAAAGCCCTGAGTAAGACATAAGGTACAGTCTTCCCCCAGATCTGTGGGCAAAGTAAATCATTGCTATTACTTTAAGCCAGGGTATTGTGGCAGCTTGTTAAACAGCAACACATATCGGGAATAGGGATGATGAATCAACTTTTAGACTTGTGTCTGGAGATTCTAGAGAAGATGTTTAAGAGATAGAAATTCAGGTCTTGGCCTCAGGCAACTGCTTTGAGCTTAGGAATTTACACATGCTCTTCCCAGACTTTCATCTGTATCAGCTTGTGTGCGTGTCATGATTTCAGAGCAATTGCAATTTTTTTTTTTTTGAGACGGAGTCTCACTCTGTCATCCAGGCTGGAGTGCAATGGCGCGATCTCGGCTCACTGCAACCTCTGCCTCCCAGGTTCAAGCGATTCTCTTGCCTCAGCCTCCTGTGTAGCTGGGATTACAGGTATGTGCCACCGCACCCAGCTAATTTTTGTATTTTTAGTAGAGATGGGGTTTCAACATCTTGACCAGGCTGGTCTTGAACTCCTGATCCAGTGATCCTCCCGCCTCAGCCTCCCAAAGTGCTGGGATTACAAGTGTGAGCCACCGCGCCCGGCCCACAGATTTTTTATTTGATTTGGTCTTAATAGCAACCCCTTGAAGAAATGAGGAACAGATTATTACACCCATTATAGAACTGAGGAAATAGTATTCCTAGTACAATACTATTTCTCCTCTATCCTGTTAAGTGTTCTAGGCAGATAGGGAATTGCCTGGTTGTGGAGTGTGCCCTGAATCATTGCCTTGAAACCAAAGAACTGAGAAACCCAAGTCTGAGGAGAGAAGGAAGAAGAGAGCTAAGAGTGCTTCTTAAACTTTTCCACAGAAGCGTCCCTTACTGCAGAGGGGAGAACTACTTCACTTTCCGGGAATATATGGATGTAGAGCCCAAAGGGAAGTTTTTTGAAGTTGTTCATTCATTTGTGTAACAGTTATGTATTGAGCACGTGCCACACCCCAGGCACTGTGCTAAGTTCAGCAGCACAACACTGCACGTGTTTCTGTCCTCAGAAAGTTTCGGAAACAGATGATCACAAACCATAACCTGGAGCCGGAGGTTCCCGCGTGACCATGTCTTCAGAACACAGTCACAGGCAGACAGTCCAGGAAGAAGTCACATGAAAACGGAAGCTTAAAAGACAGGCAGGAAGAGAGGGGAGGGAGGAAAATCTAGGTGGAAAGAAGGCATGGACGTAAGCCCAGAGGCAAGAGAAAACATCTCTTTTAAGGCAAACAGTAAAATTAAGAGATTTAGACACATTGACCTTCATCAAGATTCCCCACTAGGAAAAGCATACTTGTAATAAAATGGTTTGGAAATTAGACCTGTGTGCCCTTAGACGAATTTCTTAATCTCTCTGAAAGATAATATTCTCATCTGAAAAATGCAGATAATAATAGCCACCTCACCGTTTTCTATGAAAGTTAAATGAAAACATATGCAAAATGCCTAACACAATGTCTGACAGACAGTAAATGCTTAATTTGTATTTTACTTACCTAGGTTATAGAAATAGATAACCTAACCTCATCAAAACCAATATTATCCATTCAAAGGAAAACATAATCAGGTGGGGTCTGCATGTTTCAATCAAAGAAGAATCAATGACCAAGATGAAGCCTAGGGATGACGAACTGCCAGGACGTTTTCAGTATGCCCAGAGAAAGTCCTGAAATATTCCAGTTCTCATTGGCAACCCTGTGTTTGCCAATAGTTAGATGAATACTTCATGTCAGCCCCCCACTCCCAAGGCCATACCAGTGTCCTAAGCATTGAGTCAGCCCCACAGAACCCATACAGCTGTGGACCCACACGGTCATGAACCAAAAGACTGCCAACCTGAGAGGCAGAGTATGTGAGAGCCCATCTTCCACACATTCTATCTCATCTCCCTAAAAGTTACACTCTATCATGATTTTATGCCACAGTGTAACTATCCCATGTTTGTTCACTTTTACAGTTTTACTCACAGTGGTGAGCATTAATGCCCTTTAAAGTAAAAAGACCTGAGTATTTACTTGGGGGAATAGCAAGAAAGTCAAAAGTTTTACTGCTGTTTCTCAGCTGGCAAAAGAAGACAGGAACTGGATGAAGAAAGAGAGTGAGGCAGCTCTAATGGGAAAAGGAAAGTTTGCGCTCAGATGAATGGACCTTAACTCTTAGCAATCAGATGTGTTAAGATTCCTTTGATCCTGATATACTTCCAGCCTCTTCTAAGACCCTCATTCAGAGACCACAGATGGCAATCCTTTCCAAACTTTTCTTCCTACAATTTTGATCTGTCTTTTATTTGGGTCAATGACAATATCATTTATCTTGGCTCAGAACATAATGCCTCACATATGCAGTGTTCTCAAAGAATGCCTAAGGGAGTACAGCATGTCTGAACACAAAATGTAGCAGCTTCTTCTTATTCAAAATGCAAAAACAAACACTTTCCCATAACTTCACGGACCACCAGCCATGAGACAAAATATGAGGGGCCTATTTCTCCTTCCCCCCAGAGTCCTGTTTTAGTCACATCCCCTTAGGAAAGGAGATAAAGCTCAATTCTTCAGTGCTCAGGAAGGCTCCCAGCCATGCCATGGCCCTGCTACCGGAATGAAAATACCTGCTCTCCGGACCCCAGATCCCACCTCCAGGGTTGAACCACATCCCATCTCCCTCCCCTTTCCCAGCAGACCATGCCTTCAGTGCACAATCACAGGCAGACTGTTGATGGAAAGTACCTTGAATGCTGGTAGCGAGGACTAACAGATGCAGCAGTAGCAGTTCCAGAGCCAGACACCAAAACCAACCTCTGGAGCACATGCTTCTTTCCAGAACTTTCCAAGAATGCAGCAGACAGTTGAGAGCCTGGGGAGAAAGGGATCAGGGCTAAAAAGGGAACTTACCAAATAAAGTTACAGGAAAATACCCACTGAGCTTTTCTCTCCACCCACCACACTTACGTGGAGCCTGCAGAAACCAAAATAGGAAGTCTTGTAAATTTTTTTTTACTAAGAAGCAGAACGGAAACAGACCAATTTTGTTTGAATGTACATGAGTGCTTTTCTGTAGGGAGAAGATTCATAGCTTCTGCTGGACTCTCAGTGGGGCAGTCAGTGCTCAGAAAAGATTAAGGGACTCTAATGCAGAATCTCTGCCTTTGGTTTCCAGGCAGGGATCACTGATTAATTCAGGGTCTAAGACATAGGAGGTACTCACTCAAACCTGGGTAGGTGTCATTCATAGCAGAAAGTCTGGGACGTCAGACCCACACAGCCGTAGTGTGACGTCTCTTACCCTCAGCACCACCCTCTAGCTCTTCCACCTTTATTATAATCCACTGTTTGAAGCTTGACATCAGTCTATCCACTGAACATTGGAAGAAAAGTAAGATTACTTGGTCCAAAATAATGGATTCCCCACCCTTGTGGTCTGTATTAGTGTGTTCTCACACTGCTAATAAAAACATACCCCAGACTTGGTAATTTATAAAGAAAAGGGGAGGTTGTTTTGTTTTGTTTTTGTTTTTGTTTTTGAGACAAAGTCTCACTCTATAGCCCAGACTGGAGTGCAGTGGTACAATCTTGGCTCACTGCAATCTCCACCTGCCGGGTCAAGCATCTCTCCTGCCTCAGTCTCCCGAATAGCTGGGATTGCAGGCAAGCACCACCATGCCCTGCTAATTTTTGTATTTTTAGTAGCGTTTCACCATGTTGGCCCAACTGGTCTCGAACTCTTGACCTCAAGTGATCCACCTTCCTCAGCCTCCTAAAGTGCTGGGATTATAGGCATAAGCCTGTGCCCAGCCAGGAAAGAGGTTAAATTGACTCATAGTTTAGCATGGCTGGGGAGGAATCATGAAATCTACAATCATGGCACAAGGGAAAGCCAATACATCCTTCTTCACATGGTGGGAGGAAGGAGAAGCACCAAGCAACAGTGGAGAAAGCCCCTTATAAAACCATCAGATCTAGTAAGAACTCACTCACTATCACGAGAACAGCATGAGGGTAACTGCTCCCATGATTAAATTACTTCTCACTGGGTCGCTCCCATGACGTGGGGATTATGGGAATTACAATTCAAGGTGGGATTTGGGTGCAGACACAGCCAAATCATATCATGGTCTAAGAAATTTCAAGCCCATTCCTGTTGAATCTAAATTAGTTATTTGCCCACCCAGGACCCCTAGGCAAGCCCCAGTTCCTGATATAACACATTTGTAATCATTTTTTTAATTGGAAACATTTCTGATTTTCAACATGGAGATGAATAACACAATGTCTGCTCTCCTCAGTACTCAAACCTGGAGGACATTATGTTAAGTGAAATAAATCAGGCACAGAAAGTTAAATACCACATGTTCCCCATCGTATATGGAAGCTTAAAATAAATGAGCTCATAGAAGTAAACAGTAAAATTGTGGTTATTAGAGGCTGGGAAGGGCAGGGGGGAATGGAGAATGGGGATAAGTTGATTAAAGGATACAAAGTTACAGCAAGAGAAGAGGAATCAGTTCCAGTGTTCTGTAGCACTATAGGGTGAATATAGTTAAGAATAATTTATTGTGCTCAAGCCTGTAATCCCAGCACTTTGGGAGGCCGAGGTTGGTGGATCACAAGAGATCGAGACCATCCTGGTCAACATGGTGAAACCCCGTCTCTACTAAAAATACAAAAAATTAGCTGGGCATGGAGGCGCGTGCCTGTAATCCCAGCTACTCAGGAGGCTGAGGCAGGAGAGTTGCCTGAACTCAGGAGGCGGAGGTTGCCATGAGCCAAGATCGCGCCATTGCACTCCAGCCTGGGTAACAAGAGCAAAACTCCGTCTCAAAAAAAAAAGAATAATTTATTGTATATGTTCAAAAAGCTAGAAAAGAGCATTTTGAATGTTCCCAACACAAAGAAATGATGAATGCTTGAGGCGATGGGTATCCTAATTACTTTGACTTGATCATTGTATACATTGTATACATGTATCAAAATATTACTCTGTACCCCATAAATATGTACAATTATTATATGTCAAGTGAAAATGAACGGAAAAAAACATAAAAGTGAAAAGAGAGAACCCTGCAAAGCAAAGTTCAGGACAGCACCACAATCAAATTCCTCTTGGTCAAATTGGTCACACGTTGGAACTGTGTATTTTTTCCAAGCAAATTGACGGGACACAACCCTGCTCCTTCATCAAGAAAAAGATAACACTGTTAAATTTTTTAAAAAGAGACACTGTAAATTAATGTTATATTCTCTTTTTGAGGGGGAGGAGGTCACAGGCTCCTGCTCTGTCACCCATAGTGTAGTACAGTGACCACTGAGCTTGGCTAATTTTTTTTTTTTTTTTTTTTTGTAGAGATGGGGTCCAACCATGTTATGTTGCCCCAGGCTGGTCTTGAACTTCTGAGCCATGGGATCCACACTCAGCCACTGGCTGGACTGGGCAGCCTGGGCAACATGGCAAAACCCCATCTCTACTAAAAGTAAGGAAGCGTGCCATGACCTGCTCCACCTTGGGCATCAGTGTCTAAAATCGGGGAACAGAGTGGCACTAAGAAACTCAGAGTTGCCAGCAACTATGGAGCCCCAAAGGGTGTTATAGCTTTTGCCTGGGGAGTCCCAAGGTCTGAGACCCCAAGAAATGCTACAGCTCTCTCTTGTTCCTGCCACCTGCAGCTCAGCAAACCAGGGCATGTCACAGCTCTTATTCAGTCTTGCTGCCTGCAGCTCAGGAAATGGGGGAATGTCACAGCTCTTATTCAGGGCATGTCACAGCTCTCAATTGGTTCCAGTGCCCCACAGCTCAGTAAACAGGGGCATGTTACAGCTTATTCCTATCAAAGAGTCTGCAATGTGCCGACAAGAAATGGAAAACACAAAAAAACCACTATGAGAGTGATGTCGACCTGAAATTAGGAACTCAGAGAATATGGGGTCTTGAGTAGCCCACAAGTGTTCAAGGAGGAGTATGGGACTGAGCTGAGGACAGAAGACAGATGTTCTGGTAGGTTAAGCAGGGTGTTGAATGCCACAATGGGCCCAGCTTTGGTAGCGCATGAAGAGTGAGAGAAAGCCAAGTCATTCCAACGAATTTTCCCCCAAAAAATTAGAGCAAAGATAGGGACAGGGTATATCTCCAGGAGACAGAATTGATGAGAACAGGTGGCTAATGTTAGAGGAGGTAGTCAGGCAGACATGAGCAGGGCAGGAGAGAGCCTCCCACACCACCGGTAATGACAGGCAACCATCGGGCGATGGTCAGGCCATTGTTAAAGTGCCTCTCTAAAATAACACTTGGTCACGGCCAGCACCAGGGAAAGGCTGTCTCCAAATACATAGAAAGTCTGAAACTGGTGATCAGCAGCTTCCCAGTAAGCTCTCAGGAAGTGTGTGAGTGGGCTCACATGTGCACACCAAGAGGGAAAATGGCGAGTTTAACTGATAGATCACCTTCCTCTAGGAACACTCAACTGGTAAGAGAAGAATGCCTGGCCGGGCATGGTGGCTTATGCCTGTAATTCCAACACTTTGGGAGGCAGCGGCAGATGGATCACTTGAGGCCAGGAGTTTGAGACCAGCCTGACCAATATGGTGAAACCCCATCTCTACTAAAAATACAAAAATTAGCCAGGCGTGGTGATGAGCTTGTAATCCCAGCTACTCAGGGGGCTGAAGCACGAGAACTGCTTGAACCCAGGAGGCAGAGGTTGCAGTGAGCCAAGATCACGCGACTGCACTCCAGCCGGGGAGACAGAGTGAGACTCTGTCTCAAAAACAGTCAAAATGGAAGAAGGACGCCTCAAGTGAGCATGCATACAACTCCAGTGGACACACTGCATGTGTGGCCCCTCCTAAGTGCTAGCAGGCCACTGTGCACACAGATAGCCCACCCCAAGGGAAGAATCAAGGGAGAAGGGACGCTAAGGTACTTTGGTCCTGTGACTCAGATCTGTTCTCTGGCAGTAAGAGATTTCCTCGCCTTCTTTGGCTGACGGCATTCAACCCCCGTATGTGGGTTTCTTCTCCCCTTTGCTCTCCTTCTTACTAACCAAGCCCTAGAACAATTCCTCTCGGCCTCCCTGGACAGGAGGCTTGCAAGACTCCTAGGGCTAGAGCCTGAGACTGGCAATGTCTGGAGTTTCCTCTGTTTTTTCAACTACTATTGGCTCTTTCCCCAAAACCCGCAGTGCCTATTCTCCTGCCTTCTGACATGGCCTTGCACACCCACTGAACCATCCAGCTCAGGGGCAAGTCTGCCTTTTCTGTTTTCATTTTGCATGTCATGTGACTTCTTAGACACACACTCCCTGTTATTCGTGTGTCCATGGCTCTGGCTGTGTTTGCGTAGCAGCAAAGACATGGGCTCCCTTTTGCCTATCCCCTGAGATTTACACTTGTTCTCCCCCAAGCAGCTCAGATGACCACCAACCCTTCCCTGTCTGCTGGCACATCGCCAGGACAGATACTACTGGGAATCCTAGCTCTGCCAACTCCTTATGACTTACTATACACTTTTTATCCCCATTATGTCCCAGAGCCAAATTTTCTGGTGCCTTCTGAAGCAGTTTGCTCACCTGCATGAACCTCACTCTGTAGCCCTTTCAACAACCCCGAGTACCTGCTTTTTTTGAGTTAGCACCCTTTGGAAGCAGGGAAAATTCTTCCTTTGCCATTTGTGACTTCTTTCTCCAAGCCTCAAGTCCTCCAGAAGTTACTACCTTATGTCAAGAGGGCAAATAAATGTCCTCTCAAATCCAAAGGCTGCCGTTTTTGTGAGCACATGAAGACTTTCCATGAGTATCTCCCTCACTTCCTCCTGTAGCCTCCATTTCTCCAATCACTTCTACTTCCTTCACAACATGCATGAAG